ACACATATGTTATTTAATGTATATATGTGTTTAACACCTTCTTTAATAATCCTTGATTATTTAAAATCAATATACATACATACATACATACATATATATATATATATATATATATATATATATATTCATCATTCCATACAACTCATAGACAAATTAAACTATATATATCCATATATAAATAATTATATATATATATATATATATATATATATATATATATATATACACACACTTCCTTCCATAACAAATTATTAATTTATTATATTTACACAAATTAGTACAACTAAATATGTCAGAAATAGTTTCCTTTAAATACTCCATACCGGTTTAAATAGTTTTTCGACACCGTCTCACTAAAACGTAAATATCTCTTATTAGGATAAGAATCTGATAATGAAATTGGTACCATTGGAAAGAAGACGAAAAATCCTTGAATTTGAGCTCAAGAATGACCCAATTTCGATTTAAAATGACTAAGTTATGACCATTTTAATTTCTAGTGTCGAATTAGGCCAACATAGTTTCCCACGCGCGCCCACGTGCTTACTATGCACTTGCACGCGCTGGATTCAAGCCTCCTTGTGTGCTGGTATTGGCTAAGCTCTTTCAGCTACCGTGAGCTCACCACACTGAATCCATCACTTCCTTTATGCCGCATCCAATGGTCATAAATGAGTGCGCAAATGAACACGCTCACACTAGATTATTTTCTATTAACTATAATAGATCTAAGGTCCAGATCAGCGAGTGCACCATCTTCTCATGGTCTGCAATACACCAAATAATCCCATAGTTGACCAGACCACTTTTATGGTCCAGATACACATGCGCACCAAAGTTTTATGCGCCGCGATGCACCATATCAATTCACATAAGTTTAATTAATCAAATGGCCCTAATTGGCGTATACACCCTATTATCCTACACCGCGCCGCACTGGATCAATTCTTTATTGTGCCGCCGCTCCACATGCGCCAGTTACCTAGTATATATATATATATATATATATATAATTATTTTCCTAACAAATAATAGGAAAATAAATCCTAATAAATTCCTAAAAATATCAGAAAAATTCCAGAACAATTCTAGAAAATAAAGAAACCATAATTAACTCTCTTGGGTCACAAATCCACCTATAGATTGATTTTAAAATATACATAACACCTATATATATCAATTAAAATCCAATAATCTAAAAATCAAATATAATAGTTTATACTTTTTAATTATTCCGATCTAACCATAATTTTTAAACAAATATACTCAAGGTGAAATCCTTATGAGTTCTAAGAGGAAAGTTAGAGAAAACTCGCCTGAAGGTTTCGAAACGAAACCGACGCTTTAAGCTTTAATTATCTCTTCCAATTCCGACGTCCTCCTTTTCAGATCCGACCTCCTCCTTGTCAGCAACCCTTCTTCTTCCTCTCTCTCTGTCTATTTTATTTTTCTAACGTGTAAAACCTTTAACCCTAAAGCCTTATGTGTATTTTTATGGTAGAGTGGGTTGTTACAAATTGGCACCACATCGTTAAGTCCAAAATAATTATTAAAGGTTGTATGAGAGTGATATTTCACTTATACGGTTGTTTGGGCTAGATATGATATTGACATTATATCGGTAAATCCAACTATAAGATTTATCTGGGAGTGGTATTTCACTCATGAGGTTGTTTGGACTAGATATGAGATTGACACTACATTAGTAAATCCAAACATAAATATTAAAGTTTGCCTGTGGGAGTATTTCAGACTCCATGAGGATAGCTTGGGCTATATATGGGATTGGCTCCATATCGGTAAACCCTCACACTGAACAGAAGGTTGGCGGTTTGCTGTAATATGTTCAGGTGACGTACCGCAATGGTATGAAGCAGGACGGATAGTGAGGTGTGCGTTTAGACCACATGCAGTTTGCACATCTCATGAAATACAGTAAAAATCACTATATTTGCTTGAATCCTAGATGGATTCGGTTTTAAGACCATGGAACTGTTTAGACTAATATATTACTTGTCTACGCATTCATGATCCATTATTGAGGAAATTTATGGAGGAGAGTGTTCTAAAGTTTCAATCTATCAATTTCAATAATTGTGTTTTCTAAATAAAAAATGAGTGGCCACTCGACTTTTATAGAGTGTGTTGCAATCCATAGTGTCATTTTATAAAACTTAGAGTGCATGGATCAAGTGGGAGATTGTTGGAATTTATATATATATATATTTAAATAATAAAAATTATTTTATGGTCCTATGCACTACGTTTTCTAAAGTAGGATTGCAATGTAATTATTGATACTTGATGGATTGGGTTGTACTTTCCAATTTGGTGGTCTAATTGGGAGTATGGTTTTATACCGTTGGATTGTGGTTTTCTAACTTATTTAGCGTGATTTAATTCTAACCCTTAATATTTAAGTTTCCATGATAGGAAGGGAGACTTAGGTATGCTTGTTTGTAGAGAAGCCGTCCCCTTGTTGTTGTTATATATAAGGGTTTTAAAACCTTTATTCAGACCTATCATATCGATAACTCTCAGAAGGGGTAAAGCGCTCTATTGTTTTGCAGGAACTCACAGAGGATTACATAAATATTCTAAAGGTATATGTGCGTTAATCATCAATAAGGTACGAGTTTAAATTACTCTTTAATTAATTAATGTATTCTTGATTTTACATGAATTAATTTAATTAAAACTCAACAAGACCCCACTGCGATTCAACCACATCCGACCACTGCCGACTTTCATCTACAACCCATCTTGCCCGCTGTTCTGTCAATCGCCGGCGTGCACAAGCCGCCGTCCTTCTCCTCACTTTCTCTCTCCTACCCATCTCAGTTCTCCAACTCTTCCATCATATCCCAAATTTTCAAGGCTAATCTCACCATCTCTGAATCAAAAAAACAAAACCCAAAACCTGATCCGAATAACTGGAAATCCATCACCACCGATTTTTATTTTCAGTTTTTTAATTTTTACCCATCAATTTTCTATATATATATATATGTAAGTACAGTATTGGTGCAGGATTTCTGAAAAAAAAAAAAAAAAAAAAAAACATCACGGCCATCGCTGGAATCAAACTGCAGTGAATAGCCGAGCTCACTGCCGCCTGCCGGTGAGTAGAGAAAGAAGAAGTTTTTTTGGGTTGGGAAGAAGGGGAAGATGAAGGAAGAGAGAGAAAGAGGCCAGTGAGTAGAGAGAGAAGATGCTTTTTTGGGCTAGGAAAAAAGGGACTTTTGCATCTGCAAACTGAGAGAGAGAGAGACAGAGCAGGGTGAGAGAGAGAAAAATAGCCAACAAAATTTGGGATGGTGAGACCAGCATTTGTCTTCACTTTTCTTCCAAATCCCTAAGGAAACATATCGTGTGGCTATATGCGAGAGATCGTTGGTGCTATTGCGATAGCATTATTCTATATATATATATAGAGGGAGAGAGAAAAAGAAAGAGGGCGGTGGCAGTGTCCGTTGTCCAGACCATCGTCGCCGCTGTCTGGTCCATCGAGAGAGACCGCTGCTGTTTGGTCCATTGAGAGAGAGAGAAAGAGAGAGTACTAGGTATTGAGATAGAAGAGACTGCCCATTTTTACTAATTTTTTTTTTTTTTTTTTTTATGCATAAATTGTTGGTAGATCCAATTTATTGAATTGTAAATTAAAAAAAGTTTTAAACGGTAAACGAATAATTTGATTAATTTATCATGTAGGGTGTTTTTGTCCATTTTCAGAATTTTAAAGGTATTTTTGTTCAAAAAATTAAATAAATTTTATCTTTGTGACTTTTTAACAAACCTCAAAAAATATCGTTGTACATCCATAATAGTACATTCATTTCAAATCAGAAAGTCTGAATGTGAAGACCGTGAGATTTTCTTTTAACGCATTCATCAAATTCTATAAAACCTTTCGCATTATTAAAAAAAAAATAAAGTTAAAATACCCTTGCATAATTTGGGTTGCTATAATGGACCCACTGTTAATGTCACTGGGATCCTGATAAGGTTATTATTATATAGCCGTTTCTGTCCCCACATCGACTAGTCACTTTCCCAACGGTCACAAAACGGCTACTTTTTCTCAGTTATCGATACGACCTTGACCACTCCGGACCTCGACCCGCGAGTGCCTTCAATTAACCAATACTGTATATAATAGTCACGCAGACATTCTCCAGAGAGAGAACATATTGAAATCTGTCGACATATATGCATTTTTTTTTTTTTTTAATTTTGTTGCAAAAAGAAATTTGATGATTTGCAAATTTTAAAAATATATGCAAAACTTTCAATTAATTTAGTTTTTTAAAATTATTTTATAAAAATTCAATTACAAAGAGACATATCTTCTTTTATAATTATTTAAAAATATATATATTTTTTCTATTACATGAGTTATTGAGAACTATTTTTTGAATTGTATTGTCCTCGACTATGACTAATTATTTTTATTATCAATCAATTTTTGGACCGAATTAAATGTCAGTGTGTTTAGGACAGAGGAATGATTTTTACGCTCATTTGTAAGGCACATCTTTATAATAATTTTCACACGCTTTAATCTTTCAAGGTACTCTTATATTGTATTTATTGAAACATCAAGTAAAGTGTAAACTAAGCTTGCTAATAATACACTTTGAAAATATAGATTTTTTACATCATGCATGTACAAATCACGTGTCAATGATCTCATGTATTAATTTAAAAGTAATGATACTTGCACCGAATTATTATACTGAATATTTTTATTAATTATTTATACATAGTACATATAAGTGAAAGGTCCACTTATTTATTTATGCCATTTGTTGTAATGAATTAGTAGACATATTTATTTTAATAAGTCCATTTATATATAAATAAAGAAATAAGTCTTCCACTTACATGTATTATGCATAAATAACCAATTAATAAATTGGTGAAAATATCATCACTAAAAGTAAATAATGCACCCTCATGTGGTTTTTTTTTTATTTTCTTTTTATCCCAAGCAAATAATGATTTCTCACTTATGTATAAGACACCTATTGGTTCTTCACAACCTTGATCTGAAAGTAGAAGAGTTTTAAGAGAGAGAAAGAGGTGAGTGACGATGGAGGCTAAGGAAGAGGATGTTAAGCTTGGAGCCAACAAGTTCTCAGAGAGGCAACCCCTGGGGACAGCTGCCCAGACAGACAAGGACTACAAGGAGCCACCACCAGCACCCTTGTTTGAGCCTGGGGAGTTGATGTCATGGTCTTTTTACAGGGCCGGCATTGCAGAGTTCATGGCCACTTTCTTGTTCTTGTACATAACCATTCTCACTGTCATGGGTGTGTCTAGGTCACCTAACAAGTGTGCCTCAGTGGGTATCCAAGGAATTGCTTGGTCCTTTGGTGGTATGATCTTTGCCCTAGTCTACTGTACTGCTGGTATCTCAGGTCAGCATTCCATCCCTCCTCAACCCTAGTTCCCTTTGCTTTTGTTTAGCCATTAATTTGTTCCCCCAATTAAGCTAAAATTATGTTCTTTTTTGTGTATATGTTTTTTCTTTTTTGGTGAATAAACTTTTGTGGGTATTAAATGTTTAGTTTTCTGTTTGTAAATTATATATTGGATCACTTCTTGTTCCACTATCTTTGTGGAAATTTCATGGGTATTTTTCAATTTTTTGTTCTTCACTCCAATTTGAATGACTATTTACCACCCATTATCCACTTTCCTTCTTGGATCTCATTGTGGGTGTTTTTTCAGATATCTTGGACTGTGAACATCTATGGTTTAGGAGTTGATCTGTGTGCATATATAGCTTTTCTGATTCAAAATTATATTGATCTACTTTGTGATTTTTGGAACAGGAGGACATATCAACCCAGCTGTGACCTTTGGTTTGTTTCTGGCAAGGAAGCTCTCACTAACCAGGGCAGTCTTCTACATGGTGATGCAATGTCTAGGTGCTATGTGTGGTGCTGGCGTTGTCAAGGGCTTCCAGAAGTCCCAGTATGAGATTTTGGGTGGTGGGGCCAACTTTGTGAACCATGGTTACACCAAGGGTGATGGCCTTGGTGCTGAGATTGTTGGCGCCTTTGTCCTTGTCTATACTGTCTTCTCTGCCACTGATGCCAAGAGAAACGCCAGAGATTCACATGTCCCTGTATGGATTCTCTCTCCTTCTCTATTATCTTGGAATTAACTTTACTGTCTCTTTGTCTATAACTTTCTGCCCTAATATGAGTGCTTAGTTTTATGCTTTTAGTGTTAACTGTTTAAGTGTTGCGTGGGTCAAATTAACTATGGTACTTGATATTCATAATCCTTGCTAGTGGGACTTATCAACATAAAAATAATCCTGGGATTTTCAGATTTATTATAGAAAGAAATTGTTGTTTTAAAGAGGTTTTTGTTTTCCCTCCTCTTAGGCCATCCGCAGTCTCTCCGGAATTTTGCTCTCTAAATTAGTCACGACAGTTTTTCCAGAGCCACATAGGCCGCTTATGCTCTCCAAATTTTGGCATTGCAGCAGCCTCTTCGGATTTTCGCTCTCTAAAAATATATTTATAACGGCTAAAAATATTTTATAACTTAAAACAATACATTACATTGTGGAATAAAATAACAAAAAATAAAAAAACAATGCAATATCCATTGTCATGGATTAAAAACAATTACATATAACTGAAACAAAACATCTAAATAAATAGGCTATGACAACCTTTATAGCATAGATTCCAATATCTCCCCTTGTCACATATGAATCCACTCTTGCCCTTCTGGTGTTGGCATCAAATTTTGATCTATTAGCATGATCTCCTTCTCTTTTCCAATAGTTTCTCCTAAATCTCCAGCTGTCTTGTCTTTTATTTCTTCGTTTTTCTTGCCTCTCACATCATTTTTGCAGTGGCAAGATTATCTGATTCCGTCTCAATACGGGATTTGAGATCATTAAAATTGTTTAGGAATGAACTACGCATCGGGATTTATTTTTATCTCGGTGCTGCTCCACCACTTTTCTTCCGGTTGGTCGTTCAAGCGGTTGACATTCCTTAACACCGGATGAATCATTTTCGCTGATGTTTTGTGAAGATTCAACCGAAGTTGAAGTTGGTGGCGTAACTGCATGACTACATGTAGTAGATGGTGTACCCGCATGACTGCATCATCATCATCATTGTCGAATCCATTCCTTCTCATCTACTGTTGTTTTGGGTTGCTATTTTTGTCTTGTTCAGCACAATGTAAATGTCATTTACTGGTATTCTTAACAATATGCCAGCACATGTCGAGAGTAAATTCTCTGTGAATCATTTTCGCTGATGTTTTGTGAAGATTCAACCGAAGTTGAAGTTGGTGGCGTAACTGCATGACTACATGTAGTAGATGGTGTACCTGCATGACTACATCATTGTCGAATCCATTCCTTCTCATCTACTGTTGTTTTGGGTTGCTATTTCTGTCTTGTTCAGCACAATGTAAATGTCATTTACTGGTATTCTTAACAATATGCCAGCACATGTTGAGGGTAAATTCTGTGTGATATTGTGCCTTATACAGATTTTTTAGCATCTACACAAAGAAAATTAACTAGTAGAAGTCAAATGTTTAAAATATTTACGAGTTAAATTTAACACAGTAAAAAAACTCACCGTATCTTTATTGCTGTAGCCACTAGGGTGATTGCTGTTGATTGTAGCCATGCATCCAAAAAAAACTTGGTCATTATTTTTTTGCGTGATGGACCAACGATTCATCAGACCATTTGGAACCTTGGAAGATGGACGACCAAGTTGAAGCACATAATTTTCCTTCACTTGGTCCCATAATTTTCCTTACGTACAACCTCACTTTTGTCCGTCTTATTGACCGGTTGGTTGCCTTGAGGAACATAATATTGGGAAGGGATTTGGGATTCTGGTACACTACTCCCATAATATGGAGTATTGTCGGGTTGTAATTTTGAAAACAAACTGATATTATTCTCGTTAAATGTCAAAAATTCATAGGTGGGTTGGGTAGTTATAGTAGGACAAACGCTAAAATAGACTAAAAAAGAAAAAAAAGAAAAAAAAAATGAAGCTCGGAGGAGTAGAGAATATATAAGGGGATGTGGTTTGGATCAATGTTGTAAGCTTAGATATAACCACTCGCAAGCGCACGAATCTTTGCAGATAGGACTTCTTGTAAAGGTGTCGTACCTAAGAGACTTGTATTAATTGAGTTGTTAACAGACTCTTAAATTCTAAATTAATTTGAAGTAGGACAAACGAGTTATGATGGAATAATGATTTAATCTAATGGACTAAATAGAAAATTAATTTAAAGACAATAATTAAACTAAATGAGGAAAATATGAGAGAAGAGACTAGGGACATGATTTCACCACTAACGTCACACTACCAGTCAGTTGCATCAATTAATTGGAGAGATATGAAACATGTATATTAAATTAATCATGACTACATGCACATATTAATTCAGCTAGAAGATAATATAAAATTAAACTTAAGCATGAACTATCTTCGATTAACATAAACCATCTACCTAACTACTCTACTCTAGGGTGTAGTATGGTCTATCTTTTCTAAGCATAATCCATCAAAACCCTAATATTATATTCAATGAAAAACCATTGCATAACCATCTCATTTACAACTATAAGAAGTAAATGAGTTGTGTTCAATCACAAACATTAAATACCTAAGACAATATAGAAAATACTTTGCAATTGGATTAAAACTTTGAAAACGATTTCTATTGAAAAAGTCAAATAAAATCCTCTAGGTTATACAATATTGCATGATAAATATCGTTCTCCAATAAATAAATACAATTAAACTAGTAGTGCTAAGCTAGGGCTACATCATAACCCCCTAGCAAAGCTTTTAGCCGCTCATGACTGGAATGAACTTCTTCATGGTTGGGAAGAATATCTTTGCCGCCATAAGTCGATCCCTTCTTTCTTCTTCTCCTTTGATTTCAGCCTCTAGCTACTGTGTATCTTGATGATCTCCCAATGGTGTGTAGATAACTCTCTTTAAATAAGAGAAGAATAGCCCCCAAAGTTCCTTTTTCCAAATAGGAGATATATGGAAATTCTGCCAAACTTGGACTCCAAAATTCGTGCCGACTTCTGACCCAGTTTGGACAAGGTAAACATCCCTTTTATGAAATTTTCGTGAAATACAAAATTGTAGATCTTCGAATTTCCTTTAAAACTACATGAAGTTTGCGCTATTTTGACACTCACTTAAGGAGATACAGACATAATACTAAAACAGGTTCAAGTTCCCAATTTTGGAGAAAGTTTCCTAGTTGGAGAATGATTATTCCTTTTCTTCTTGTTTCCATTCTTATCAGCTTGTGGCCATCTTTTGCGCACTTTTCTAGGTCTAATTAGACTTAGATCTTCATTATTGCTCGGCCCAATGGATGTAGCCTTCCCCTAACCTCCTGGATATCATCTTTTAAAGTCCAAAGTCACTGGTTTTGACTGATATTATAATTAAGGCCCCGAAATAAAGAAAAACACTAAAACAATATAAAATCACAATAAAACTACTACTAAGAGAATAAAACACGCAAGTTAAGGGCTAAAATGTATAACATTCAATGCCTAACACACCCCCAAACTTACATTAGTCCCTTAGCAATAAAAATAAAACTAAAGAAACATAAACTACTCTTCTAACTACATTACTCCTAACTCCACTTTCGTGGGAGATACGATTGCATTTAGCATATGCAACAAGCCTTTTAAATCCCTTGATTACCCCTGGTGGATGAGTGAAGTCTCGTAAGGGTTACCAACAAATGTTACCCACAAAAATTCAAAACTGTCTCTTTTTCAAAACAATTCAATCCTTCGACAATTAAAAATTATTCTCATATCATCATAATGACCAAGAGGAAGACTACACAAAAGTGTCTTAAAAATTATTAACTGACAATACTCCTTAGTCCCTATTTTCATACCTTAATCCAATGTTTACCACACACTTTTATAATAAAGAATAATAGCAAAATCAATCCTTGTGAACTAGTAACTCACCAATGTAGTAATGTATTTTCAATTGAGCCCAACTTCTATAGCTTCAATTCCTTAGATCCCTTCTCATGCTATCTCCTATGGCATAAACAAAAATTTTCTTTTCTTCTCACACATTTTTTATCGCTATTTTATTGAATGGTCATGCAATGTTTGGTGTATTAAGCTTTCTAGGAGACTTAGGTAACAAACTTTCAGCTAATGACTCCCAGATTAGACAGTCTGAGGGCATTAGGTGTAAAGATACTCTTAAGGACTTAATTACTAAAGTCAATTAGGCTACAAACCTAGATGAACCAAATCAATTTTTTTCAAATTTTTTTTTTCATCCTTACACCCCACTTCTTTATGCGAACACTCTATGCTTATTGAGGTACGAGGCCCGATTACTCCATTAAAGGGTTTAAATATTTTTGTATTTTTTTATTTTTATGCCATCGTGATAACTTTCAAAGTTCACTAATTCATATCCATTCATAGTCATTAGAATTCAACTAAAAATACAAATACCCATAAATAAAATTCTAGTGTGCATCTGTGCATGTGAAATCCATTAAGGATTGACAAATACTAGAACTCCTATATCATACTAGATAATGGAACCCATATAAGGTAAAGCATAATATTAGAAATACTTGAATTAAAATCAAGACTATCTCAGAAAATAATTTAAAAATTACTTAAATAGCCTTAATCCTCTTGACAATTCTCAAATACTTGAATTAAAATCAATATGCCAAAGAAAGAATTGAATTAAATTGTTTCAGAATTTTTTAATTTTTTTATTTAAAAAAACTAGACTCTTTATTCCCCCAAACTTGAATCGAACAGTGTTACTGTCCGCACTGGACAAAAATCAAAAGAAAGAAAAATAAAACACCAAAAAAAAAAAAAAAAAAAAAAAAAAAACTAAAAATAATAAAAAAACAAAGAAAAAGAAACCACCTAGCAGCTGAGCATGATATTTAAGGAGGAGGTGGTGGAGCATTGGAATTAAGCATGTTGTGGATCATGAGAGCCTACATCATATCCATCATCGTCTTTTGATCCTGACGAATCTCTTGAACTTCAGCCTTGAGTTGGGTCACCTCACCCACCAAATAATCAAAGGGGGGGTGCTCATCAATGTCATCAGCAGCAGCCTCTTCCATTGGTTCTGATTCTGACGAATCTCTTGAACTTCAGCCCTGAGTTGGGTCACCTCACCCAACAAATAATCAAAGGGGTGCTCATCAATGTCAGCAACGACAGCCTCTTCAGCCTCTTCCATTGGTTCATCATATGAATCATCCTCCATTATTTGGTCGGTAGCTAACTGATTCGGATTAACAGGTAAAACCTGTTCTCCCCAAACCCGGGGGTCCGGATCGCTACCCGGGTCCTAACCCGAACCCGAGGTCACACAAGGGCACTATAGTCATTTACTACTCATAATTATTGCTTCTAGACACTTCAAAGGTAAAATTGTCATTTTCTATGTCCATTCTATGCTTTTGTTGAAATTTGGGGGTAATTTTGTAAATATGCCAAAGTTTGAGGTCAATATGCAAATACTGGTCCATCTAACCAAGTAGATAAGGGATCTAACCGGTTAGATGCTTATTTAACTGAGTAGATGTCCAACCGAGTAGATGTCGGAGTAGATGTACTTGATTAGATGACCAAACCCAGAAATCCCAACTCACTGCCCAAGCCATCTAATCGAGTACATGCCGCATGTAATGGATCAGATGGTTCCCAAATCATGGTCCAATCGAGTAGATGGTCCATCTAATCGATTAGATGGCCTCCTAGATCTAATCTACTCGAGTAGATGAGATCCAAATCCTATATGATCGATTGGATCACTTCCCAATTCGCCCATATGCATCCTAAACTCATACAACATGAAATAATAAGTCCATAAACTTTGAAACATGCAAGATAAACATATATACATCCATTAAACAGTCATTTTGTACATCTTTAATAATCAAATTATACAAATCATTTTTACACCATTTTAAAGAATTTAAGTACAAAGATGAGGCCGCCATGCCAGTCCGTGAATGCAAGTCTTACGCCAAATCTTTTCCGGCTTTCCTGAAAATGTTAAGATAAAGGGTGAGCTCAACAGCTCAGTAGGAAAAGTCTAAAACACCGGTTATGGACTCCCTTGAGTTAACAACCAAAGAACGGAAAAAAAGAATTTAGGATCATACTCGGGGAATCATCAAAATCACAATCCACACCATTCAATTCAAAAAATTATCATCACATAATCAATCATTATCATGAATGCCAACATGCCATGAAATGCAATACCTTCCCGACCATAGTCCCAACCCAACACAACACACACCGAAAACTGCTATCCCGACTTTATCGATGCGAGATTGATAAGTATCCTTGGTTCTAAATCCGGGCAACCATTTTGGGGTCTAATATCAACTTTACACGTCTAAAACCGGCACTTGCTTCCTCTAGGTCGAATTAGCCCCTGGCTCGTGAAACCCGGTTCCTTTCATAAAAACCTTTTCTTTCACGAAACTTTTCTCTTTAAAAACATCAAAACATTCTTTCCTTCCACAAAACCTTTCAACGCAATTTTATAAAACAATTTCACCCCAATCCCTTTACTATGCCCATGCCATGAATGAAAATCATGCATGCTCATCATCATCATGTATATATATATATATATATATATGTAATCTCAAGAAAACAATTTGTCACAAGGCGTACTCTTTAAACAACATGCAATCAAACATCATTTTTAAAGAGGCTTTCATCACATAAACACATACTTAGCAAGAAATTAAACAATAAAGCTCAACAAAAGTCAAAACTTGATGATTTAGACACCCCTACCTTAAAATGCACCTAAAAAGCATTCCCGGCTGGAAAGTCAACGCCGGTCAACTCTGGTCAATGTCGGTCAACGTTGACCGATGTTGACCAGCATTGACCGGCGTTGACTTTTTGTAGGCCAATATAGTCCTTAGGCACTATTTCGGTCAGATAATACATTGGCGAGGATGCTTTTTATCACAAGAAAACAATTTATCACAAATTTAAACAACTTGCAATCAAGCATATATGTATATACAACCAGCATCATTTTTAAACATGCTTTCATCACATAAACACATACTTGGCAAGAAATTAAACAATAAAGCTCAACAAAAGTCAAAACTTAATGATTCAGATACCTCTACCTTAATAATGCACCTAAAAAGCATCCCCGGCAGGAAAGTCAACGCCAGTCAACTCTGGTCAACGCCGGTTAACGTTGATTGACGATGACTAGAGACTTTTTGTAGGCCAATATAATCCATAGGCACTATTTGGGTCAGATAATACATCGGCGGGGAAGCAACGCATATTAAACAAACAAAATTAAACAACCAATTAAATTGATTAATAGCGTATAATAGGAGGTTTGTAACCTTCCAAAGTAATATAATAAATTACTGAAATAAATTACGGAGATAATATTTGAATTACTTAAAACAGGATAGTGCTTACAAAATTATGTGATTTACAGACCAAGTGCTGTAGAGAGTTACTGGTTGGATACAACATACTGGGTTGAATACAACAACATAATACTAGAGAAAGGAAAGGGAAAAATTTAAGAAAAGCTTCAGAAAAAGCTTTGTGTACAATAATGAAATGAGCTTCTTAAATAGGGAGCCCGTTTAATTACTTTAAGTGGAAAAGCCAAAATTTCCGCCACAGTAATCAAACGAGTTTGTCGTTACTGTGCATGAATAGTAGCTTGTCAGGTTGCTGTTCACACTGTTTTGTGCCAACGGTTACTGTAAATGAATAGTATCCTGTCAGGTACTATTTGAATAGTGGTATTGTAGTGTCGGCAAAAATTGTTCATCTTACTGTAGTGTCGACAACAATTGTTCATCTTACTGTAGGGAAATTATGTTACTATTTGAACAGTGTTACTATAGTGTTAGCAACATCTGTTCATCTTACTGTAGTGAATAGTGACTAGGCAGAAATTCTGTTTCTCTTTACCAAGATCATATGGGTCTTGTACTAGCTAACTTGATTCTGCTGAAGAGGCTTCATCATCACCTTCTTCTTCTTCTTCTTCTTTAGTTCCTTGAGTTGTGACTTTGAAGTAGCTTTGGTGATGACTGTTTCGATTGATGAAGATGGTTTTTCCTGTTTAACTTGCTTGGTGATTTTCTGGGGACCTGTATATCTTCTGAGTTGAAAACTCAGCTTGAACTTGACCAATGATTCTTTTATATTTAAAAGAATCCCACCATTTGACGAAGTGTCACCGGATGACTGTATTACTTTGAGTGTCATATTGCCATTTGAACATCCATGGCACTTTATATTTACTTGAGAAGAGGATTAGTATCGGAAACTGTGAATTATGTTGGTTGATTTTATAGACCGAAGATAAGTAAGTTACTTATCAAAAAAGTAAGTTACTTGTTTTGAAAGAGCAGGGGGAAGGATTTCAGGGATGGGTCCATATTGAGACCACCATCGTAGAAACCAGGTTGGTAGCTGACTTTTAAATTTACTATCAAAATTAAGGAACCAAGAATGAGTGAATGACTCATTCTGATGGAGGATGACTTTGAACTATGCTTCCATGTAATCGTAATAGTTAAATTGAATGGAGTGATTGGGTAGGTAACTCTTTGAGAATGGAGGGATGAGATCCCCGTTTAGACATTGAAAGAATTCTCTGAATGTACAGAGAGTGGTAGATGACTTTGGAAGGATCATTACGAAGTTATTGGCTTGATTACGATTGACTGAGTGTGGAATATGATGTCTTTGTAAAATCTGAGAGATTTACAGAGGAAAATAGGTATTTACTAGGGCAATTGGATCCTGGATTTTACTTTGATTTGGTTCTAAGTAGAATAAGTTTGAAGCAAAAGACTTTTGAACATATTCTGATGACTGTCGAGGTAAGTGACCTCTAAAACCGACTGTGGTAGAGGGGTGACTTGGAAAGGGTCTGGGCTGGGAGAGACCAGGGCCGAGAATGGAGGGATGAGATCCCCATTCAGACATTGAAAGAATCATCTGAATGTACAGAGATTGGTAGATGACTTTGGAAGGATCATTACGATCTGTTATTGGCTTGATTATGATTGACTGACTGTGCAATATGACTGTGGTAGAGGGGTGACTTGGAAAGGGTCTGGGCTGGGAGAGACCAGGGCCGAGAATGGAGGGATGAGATCCCCATTCAGACATTGAAAGAATCATCTGAATGTACAAAGATTGGTAGATGACTTTGGAAGGATCATTACGATCTGTTATTGGCTTGATTATGATTGACTGAGTGTGCAATATGATGTCTTTGTAAAATATGAGAGATTTACGGAGGAAAATAGGTATTTACTAGGGTAATTGGATCCTGGATTTTACTTTGATTTGGTTCTAAGTAGAATAACTTTATAGCAAAAGATTTCTGAACATATTCTGATGATTGTCAAGGTAAGTGACCTCTATAACTGACTGTGGCAGAGGGGGTGACTTGGAAAGGGTCTGGGCTGGGAGAGACCAAGGCGATCTGAATGAAAATCTTGGAATTTTGCCAAGAACTTGAAATCTGTTTGTTACTGCAAGGGCAGTAGTGGACTGACCAGAGGAGGGTTCATGTTTGACTGGAAGGGGAGCCCCTGGACAAATATCAAAGGGCTGAATTGTTCTCCTTTGAGGAGTCTTCTTTTGTGATGACTGGTTGCTGGCCATT